ACCTTGAGGGTGTTATGCTGAGTGAAATAAGTCAGGCAGAGAAGGACAAATATCATATGTTTGCACGTATAGGAGGATTAGGAGGAACTTAAAGGAGGACTGTGGGGGAGAAGAAGGGGGTAAATAGTGGGGGAGAGGGAGAGAGGGAAACCATGAGAGACTCTTGAATGCTGAGAACAAACGGAGGACCGATGGGTGTGGGGGGGGAGGGGGGAGATGGACATGGAGGAGGGCACTTACTGGGATGAGCACTGGGTGTTATATGGAAACCAACTTGACAATAAACTATTCAAGAAAATTTAAAAATTTTTTTAATTAAAAAAATAAAAAGATGCTGATTAATATCATAAAAACTTAAGAAGGTAATGTAAAACTAGCTGGTACTGATAGTCAAAATTAGATACTGTAGAATAGTAACTGTGGTACATAATTCACTTACAGTTCTAGTTAAGAAGATTTTTTTAAAGTAGTAAAAATAACCATTATTATAATATTAGTTACACAATATAAAAATACGTAAACTTTAACATCAATACGCTAAAATGTGAGAGAGAGTAGAAGTAAAAGTGTAGTTTAGTAGTGCTATGTAAACGGTTACCAGTTTAAAATAGGGTGTTATAATTCTAAGATATTTTATGTAAGCCTCGTGGTAATCACAGAGGGAAAACCTGTAGTTAAAACAAAAAGAACACGGTAATGAAGTCAAAATATATTGATACGAAAAACACCAAATTATAAAACAAGACAGCAGGATAAGAAGCAAACAACAATGGATCTACAAACAGCCAGAAAACAAGTCATAAAATGGCAACAGTAAGTTCTTACCCATCAATAATTACTTTAAACATAAATGGATTAAATTCTTCAGTCAAAAGGCCTAAAAAAGCTGAAAAGCTTTTAAAAAAAGAATGAAAAATCACAAGACCCAATGATATGCTGCCTACCAGGGACTCACCTTAGCCTCAAAGACACACAGACTGTGAGTGAAGAGATGGAAAAAAGATAATTCAAGCAAACAGTAACCAAACAGAAACAACAAAACAGGATAACTGTACTTACACTAGATAAAACAGACTTTATTTTTTTTATTTTTTTTTAAATGTTTTATTTATTTCTAGGAGAGAGAGAGAGAGAGAGACAGCGTGAGCAGGGGAAGGTCAGAGAAAGAGGGAGACACAGACTCCGAAATAGGCTCCAGGCTCTGAGCTGGCAGTCAGCACAGAGCTCGACGCGGGGCTCGAACCCAGGAACTGCGAGATCATGACCTAAGCGAAAGTTGGACGCTTAGCCGACTAAGCCACCCAAGCGCCCCTAAAAGAGACTTTAAACTAAAAATGGTAAGAGACACAAAAGATCATTATCTAAGATAAAGGGGCCATTCCATTAAAAGATATAAAATGGTAAATATTTATGCACCTAACGCTGGAGTACCTAAATATATACAGCAAAAACAGAGGATAAAAGGAGAAATAGAACAGTAACACAAGAGTTGGAGAATTTAATACCTCACTTTCAACAATGGATAGATCATCCAGAGAATCAATAAAAAAAATAGTGAATTTGAACTACACTATAGACCAAATGGACTTAACAGACATATACAGAACATTATTATCCTATAACAGCAGAATATACATTCTTGTCAAGCACTCATGGAACATTTTTTGGGACTGACCATATATTAGGCCATAAAACAAGTCTAAGAAGACTGAAATCATATCAAGTATCTTCTCTGAACCCAATGGTATAAAACTGGAACTCAATAACAAGAAGAAAACTGGAAAATCTGTGGATACATGGCAATTAAATAACACTCTCCTGAACTCATGGATCTCATGGATCAAAGAGGGAATTAAAGCTGGGGGCGGGATGGGGGGGCGAGGGGGGGAATAAAACATTATCTTGCAATAAAATAAATGGAAACACAACATACCAAAACTTATGGAATACAACTGCAAAAGCAGTTCTAAGGAGAAAATGCATAGCAATAAACACCTACATTAAGAAACAAAAGATCTTAAACAACCGAACTCTACATCTTAAACTAGAAAAAGAAGAACAAAGTAAATCCAAAGTTAGCAGAAAGAAGGAAACAAAAAAGATTAGAGCTGATAAAAGAAATAGAGAATAGGAAAACAATAGAAAAGATCAAAACTAAGAGCTGATTCTTTGAAAAGTAAACAAAACTGACAAACCTCTAGTTAGATTAAGCAAGGAAAAAAGAGGATCTAAGTCAACAAAACTACAAAGAAAAAGAAGACATCATAACTGATACCACAAATATACAAAGGATCAGGACTACTATGAACTATACCAACAAACTAGACCACCTAGAAAAAATGGAAAAAAAATTAAAAACATATAACCTTCCAATACTGAATCAGGAAGAAACATAAAATCTGAACTGATCAATTACTAGTAAAGAGATTGAAGAATCAGTAAAAATCTGCCAAGGAAGAAAAACCCAGGGCCAGATGGCTTCAGAGTGAATTTTACCAAACATTAAAAAAATTTATTTTTTAAAATTTTTTAAAAATTTTTCTTTTTTAATTTTAAAAAAAAGAAATAAAAGAGGAGACAGCATATCCAAACTTACTTTACGAGGCCAGCATTACCTGATACCTATGAATATAGGTACGAAAATTCTCAACAAAATACTACGAAACCGAATTTAGCAGCACATTATATGGATCATTCACCATGATCAAGTGGGATTTATTTCAGGTATGGAAGGTGGTTCAACACACGCAAATCAATGTGATACACATCATTAACAAAATGAAGGATAAAAATCATATGATCATGTCAATAGACGGAGAAAAAACATTTGACAAAATTCAACATCCATTCATGATAAAAACTCTTAACAATTTAGGTATAGAAGGAATGTACCTTAGCATAATAAAGGGCGTATATGATAAGCCCACAGCTAACATTATACCTAGTGATAAAAGGGTAAAAGCTTTTTCTCTAAGATCAGGAACAAAACAAGGGTAAGGGTGCCCACTCTTGCTACTCTTATTCAACATAGTACGGGAAGCTCTAGCCATAGCAATCAGGGGGGAAAAAAATTAAAAGGCATGAAATTGGAAAAAACAAGTAAAATCGTCCCTATTTGTAGATGACATGATTATATATATATATAAAATTCTAAAGATTCCATCAAAAGAATGGTTAGATCTAATCAGTGAATTCAGTAGTCCCAGGATACAAAATTAACATATGGTAGCATATTTATACACTAACAAGAAATTATATAAAAAGAAATAAAGAAAATTATCCCATTTACAATAACATTAAAAACATTTAAAGCATAAATTCAACCAAGGAGGTGAAAGACCACTACACTTAGCACCACAAGACATTGATGAAAGAAAGAGAAGATAAAAATAAATGGAAAGGTATCCTGTGTTCATGAATTGGAAGATTTAATATTGTTTGCATTTCCATATTATTCCAAGCCATCTATAGATTTAATACTATCCCTATTAAGACTCCAATGGCAAATTTTACAGAAGCAGGAAAAAAATCTTAAAATTATATGGAAGCATAAAAGACTGAATAGTCCAAGGAATCCTGAGAAAGTACAAAGCAGGGGCATCACACTTTCTGATTTCAAGCTAGACTATAAACTGTTAGTAATTAAAACAGTATAGGTAAAGGTATAAAAACAGATACAGACCAACAGAACAGAAGAACCCAGAAATAACACCCCTGTATATACATACAATCAAGTAATAATTCGAGAAGGGAGCCAAGAATACTCAATGGTGAAAACACAGTCTCCTCAATAAATGGTGCTGAGAAAACTGGATATTTACATGTAAAAGAATGAAAGTAGACCCCTATCTTGTTCCACTCACAAAAATTAACTCAAAATGGATTAAAACTTGAATATAATACCAGAATCCATAAAACTATTAGAAAACATAGGTGGTAAGCTCCTTGACTATGGTCTTGCACTGATTTTCTGGATATGACATCAAAAGCACAAGCAACAGAAGCAAAAGTAAATAGGACTATATCAAACTAAAAAGCCTCTGCACAGCAAAAGAAAAAAAAAATCAACAAAATGAAAAGACAACCTACAGAATGAGAAAAAATATTTGCAAGCCATATCTAGTAAGGAGTTAGTAGCCAAAATATGTAAAGAACTCCCACAACTTGCTAGCAAAATATATTTGAGTGTATATATATAACAATTAAAAATGGGCAAAGCACCTGAACATTTTCCTAAGTTAGTTATACAATGGCTAACAGGTACATGAAAAGGTTCTCAATATCACTAATCATCGGGGAGACACAAATCAAAACCACAATATCACTTCAGATCTGTTAGAACAGCAATGATCAAACAGACAAGAGATCACAAATGCTGGTGCAGATGTACAGAAAAAAGAACCTTTATCATTCTCCCTTAACCCCAGGCAGACTTCGCTATTAACAGAGGCAGTTTAAAGAACTATGTTCCTGAGGAAGGACTGTGACCTTGCCTCAGCTGGGCAGTCCTGCTCGGAGCGACCCTGAGACTTTTCAGTCTCCGCAACCTTGTTGCCCCAGTGTAAAATGGGAGCACCATTTGCCTGATGATGTAGATTCCCTAAGCGCCCACAATGTTGGGCCCTATTATTCAATCAAAAGGACAGAAGTCTACCTATCAAATCTGTTTCTTTAAAATATTAACTCCCAACATTAAAAATGTCGTAAAATGTGTAGAACACGAGCTTCATGGTATCTATCCCTTATTATATTTAATAAAGCCACTCTAAAGCACGTTACACAGACCAATTAGTGAGACTGTGCCGGTTTAACCACTTCTGTTCTTCACCTGCTGGGATAACCTTGAACACAATCCCTGGGCAGGCCACACCCCCTAGACATGGGCACCTCCATCTTCTCCAGCATTGTTGTACATCTTCTCATTCTGAATCACCATCCCCCAAATTTAAAAAAAAAAAAAAAAGGAATCAATTTTCCTTCACAGAAGAAATTTTATTCCATTAAAAAAAAGTAAAGGATACAGATAATTATTCTTTGCCTGGCAAAAGCCATTTTCCCCTGGGACTCTGAGCTCTGCCTGGTGAAGTTAATGGTGACACTGTGGCCTCCAGGGGCACAGTGAGCACAGACATTTGGCTGGAAGGGCATTCACATGATCAGAACATTTCCTAGAGCAAAGATTCACAAGATCATTTTATCCGGAAGACCATTTTGGTTTTGAAGAAAACATTTCACTTTGAAGATACTTTAAATTCACTAATTGAACCCGGGGCAAATCATTTTTCTCATAGCTGAGAGGGGAACAATTAGACGCCCATCTCAAGTATTTTCTGCTACACGTCCTTCCTCTTACAGGATGAAATCTTCTCAATTTATCTCTAGGTCTGATGTGTCAAATGACATAAACCTCGCTCAGAGCTCCGCATTTGTGCAGTGTCTTCCTCGTCGGGGGCAAGCTTCTCCACGGTTAAGCCACGAGCCACGGTAAGCCCATTTCTGCTCTTCTGTGGGACCGAGATGGATTCTGGCCACATAGGCTCTCAACCCTCACCCCATGCACCCCTGCTGCACCTGCAAGGCCTCAGAGGCTGACCTGTGCCTCTCTTGAGCCTCCACCTTGAGCATGACTGCTGCTGTGTAGAAGAGATGGGAAAACCTCAGGCTGATGGGTGCCTGGCCCCTCTTTTTATGGCCTTCCCAGCAAGAGTCACTGTGAGGCCCTCCATTAAGTGGTTGGTCTTTTAACATCATGAGCTGCACTATACAGAGCTATTGACCCAGAGAAGAACACGGAGCCCCTTCCTAGTGTGACGGCGCTAGCATTCCTTAGAGTCAAGGAAGCAGCAGGAAGCACACCAGTCCTCCCCACACCTCCCTTCCAGGTACACATGGGGGCTGCTGCTCTCAGCAACACTGGACTGGTGACTGTTCAGCCTTAGAAGCATCACATGTTGGGACCTCGATGACAGGCACTCATCTTTCTCTCCGCACCTACTAAGTTCCAGACACTGGCCAGCAACAGTCCTTCCAAGGACGCTAACTTAGGGAATCCAGTTAGCCACTGCAGTAGGGATACGGCCCGGGTGAAACTGAGCAACAGCCCCAAGTGTTCCGGCCAAGACGCGCTAGACACACCACGCAGCAGCTCACAACACAGGCCTGTGTGTCACTAAGTTACCTCTGGAAGCACAAGGAAGAGAGCTGCTGCCATTTACTCAGTATTAGAGCAATTCGGATTTAGGGGGTTTTCGATTCTAGAAGGGACACTGCCTCAAAAAGGCTAACTGGTGAGGGCAAAGATGAAATCGGGTCTGTTATAATTGTTATCTGTCAGACTCCAAAACAGGGTGATTGATACACAAAGCCACTGGACAGCACCTTTGCCAGGGAGGCAAACAGCACCATTTGTCACACAGTCAGTCATCCCTTCACAGCAGGCAGGGGACACTGCAAACAGCCAAGTGACCGGAGCTGATCCCAGAGGCTCCCACACTGAAGGCCCAACGCCGTTCTTGAACTTCCGAACACATCCAACTTGGGGGCCCACACAGCGCCAGTCCACTAGGAATCTTAAAGAAGCGGCACCTGCCACGTGTCAATGTTTCTCTTGCTTTAACTTCTGGATGTAGGAGGCTGAGGGTGCTGGGTTTTGGCTCCCACAGCCTGGGACTGGGCGAGCCTACTCCCCAGGGTGAGGGTTACTGAGAACACAATGGTGTTTTCTGAAACATGTCCGTGTGTCATAGGAAAGGATGCGGCACCCTCGGCCGTGGCCGACAGCAGGTGATGCACGTTAAGAGGTCAAATGCTGAAACTGGCCTGATTCTTTAGGAACAACCACGGCTAGTTCCCTGGCCGAGTGGTCTGACTGACCTGGCTGGCTGAAGAGGGGATGGTTGGCACCGGAAATGCTAATCTGGGGGCTTGCCTTGGAACTGCACTCACTGTCACCGAGCCATTGGGGACAGTAGTGGTGTTCAAGCTGCTGGGGATCTCGCCAGTAGCTTGTATTTTAAAATAGACCAAATAAAACACTGGTAAAACAATCCCGATTAGAAGCATGATAAAAACAGCATTCCACCACTGAATCCCACAGTCGGCGCCATTTGTCGGGGTCTTCGGAGGGGCTGGAGGTGGCAGCTGACTGGACGTCTCTCCATGGTAACTTTCATTTAGAAAGATTTCTGACTGCACCGCGCGCTCAATATTCTGGTCAATGCCCTTGAAGAAATCCGTCAGCGGGCTGGACAGGGCACTGGCACCTACGGCTGCCCTGTCTGGGTCTGGCAGCTCCTCGAAGGTCACTCTGGTCTCGGAGGATGGGCTCGGGAGGGGTCTGAGTTCTTTGTGGGTCTCTGTTAGGATCCCATGGTTTTTCACTGGGATCTTAATAGATTTCAAAGCATATAAATCTTGTTCTCTGATGAAGTTGTTGACTTTCTTGATATCTGCGACCTAGGGAAGTTATGAAGACAAACATCAAGAAGTATGAAAACTCCTCAGAACTAAGATCCAAAATGTAGCTCTTTCTGAAAGAGGATCCAACCCCGCCCTGCTTAAGACCCTGATGAATACTGGAAAATTGCACCTGTACACACAATACCTTTAGGCTGAAGAAGTGTGGTTTTTGGCTTTAACTCAGCCTTAATGCATAGCTTAATCATCACATTTCCAAGCAGATTTCCAAGTTTGAATAATGGAAGATCAGTTTTGGAAAAGAGTTTTTTGTTGGTTTACAGTGTGACTGCAACAAAATGTTTTTAGGTGAAACCAGTCATGGTACTAGAAATGCAACAGCCCTTTCTACTTCTGAGGCAACAATGCCCCCATCTGGCTGACTTCCCTCCCACATCAGAACCCGGTTCAGTGGCTGATTACACCACACCAAACCTCAGCCAGCTTGACAGACACTCAGAACCGGCTTTAACTGTAATTTTGTTTTAAGAGGTTATGTCCTCATGATTCTACCATGTTTTCATGCCCAGAAGTAGCGTATGGTACATAAATTTTTTTAAATAAAAGCAACCTAGAGTTAATTCACTTGGAGGATTCATAATCCTTAGTAACACATAGGGAATCATACAAATCAAGTTGGAAAGTATGGATTGAAATCTCAGACTCCAGGAGAAAGGGACAGCACTGAGTTTCACAAAGTAACAAAGTCCATGACAAACTCCTTTCATAATCAAATCTTAAGGGACCATGGTGCAAAATGTAAGTCAAAGATAAACCCTCCCTCAAGCTAAAGTTTGGAACTTACTGAAACCATCAGAGATGGACTTTAAGGTTTTAACTCCTAAGTTCACTTTAACTAGAGTGTGTGTAACTATGGCCCACAAACCTTTAGACAGCGCTGTATTTAAATCAACCATCTCCATTATTTTACTTATTGAGCAATTGTTTTTATCATCTAGTTGAACTGGGGCGGTGGACATGTTTAATTTACCATGTCCTGAAACTAAAGTGTAAGGTGCTTGAGACCTTTTTGTCTTTGCCCTGAATAAACTAACACTAAAATTTATTTATTTTCAACAGGAAAACTGATTTCTTATTGGAGGCATTATATATATGGTCTTCACGGCTTTATTAAGCGTCACTACTCTAAGAAGTCCATGAATCCATTCAGATCTTTGTAGGGTAGCATTCATTTGCTTCCCATGTTCAATAACCATACAGGCCTACTAGACGTTCATTAGAGTCAAAAATAAATCTCCGTACAATTGAGGGACCACCATGTGTCCCTAGAAGACCAGCCTGTTTATTTCCCCTGGGAAATACCACAACATCCTATACAATGTGTTTAGCCATTTGAACCTTGTTAGATAAGTGACAAGACACTTTGAGGAAAAGATTTTTAAAATAAGTTGGTTAGACGTCCTTAGAGGAGGCCATAGAAAGTTGCAACAGTGTTATTAGGAAAATGAAATAAAGAGTTTTCAATCTAGGAGGAAAATGCAGCAATTCTACAAATACTTTCTTACTTACTTTGCCATGTTAATCACTCTGAATGCTAAAAACATAATTAAAGAGAGAAACAGGGTTATACAGATACACAGCGTACACAGGGTAGACCATGCAGTTCTAAAAACGAAAGAACATAAAGCCTGACAAATCCAATAAGCTGCGACCAGCCAGAAAGGGTCAGAAAAACAGAAGTGGCCAAAGAAAAAAGCAAGCCTTTCAAACAAATCTTGGATAAATTCTGCATGGCATCTTCGGTCCTGATAGGCCTTAAAATATGCTCAAGAAAAAAGAAAAAAGAATCAAAGAAAGGTTTCTGAAATTGTTTGCAGGGACAGGGAGGGAGAGAAGCGCTCTGCAGAGAGAGACCTGCCCCAACACCTGGGACTCCTAACCCTCACTTTGCACGACCCCAAGGGACTTTCAGTTCAGAGCTGAAAGTAATTCCACCTGAGTCCCATCTCTGGCTAGATGGGAGAGTCCTTTACGGCTACAACAGGCTCTAGAAATCAACCCTGGGGGGTGGGGGAGAGGTGTCAGGAAGGAGCAGCAAGGGCCCCACCCTTCAGGGAGGTCCTCTGTTCCTCTAAACGCACAGGAGACGCCTTCACCCTGGGGGGGGGGGGGGGTCTTACTTTGCAGCCATACTGAAGAGCGAGCTTGTTGAGGCTGTCCTCCTGTGCCAGCTCCCGCTGAAGCAGCACCATGTCCCCCGCTCCTGGCTGGTGAGGGTGGGGGGCACCCTTCTTCTGGCGCTCCTTGCCTCGGGGCCGCAGAGCCACATGGTGGGACTCTTCCTCCGAGGAGTCCCCCGAGTCCCCACCACGATTCTCAAACATGTAAACGTGGCTGGTCGGAGTCCTACAGACAATGGCCGGGCCCTGGAAGGTCTTGGTTAACACTTCCTTCTGCCTCATTTTCTTAACTGAAAACCAAACCCCAGGGTTAATTCCACACCAGGCACATTCATTCCTCTTGCGGCTACAGGACAGGTGAGGGACTTATGTTCGATTCCTCCTGTCCCCCGTCACTGTAAATACTCAACAGATACCGTCAGTACAAAAAGGAACGTGTTTTACGCTAGCTAGATGGAGGGGGAAAGGCAGGTAAATTCCCTAGTTGCGCACTTTTTGCACAGAAAATGAAAAGAATCCTGGGGCACCTGGGTGGCTCAGTCAGTTAAGCGGCCGACTTGGGTTCGGGTCATGATGATCTCGCGGGTCGTGAGTTCGAGCCCCGTGTCAGCCTCTGCGCTAACTGCTCAGAGCCTGGAGCCTGCTTTGATTCTCTGTCTCCTCCTCTCTCTCTGCCCCTCCCCGGCTTGTGCTCTGTTTCTCTCAAAAATAAAAAAAAAAAATAAAGTAAAAGAATTCCTCTTTCCCTCTCCCTCTTATTCCTCACCCACAGCTGTGTCTCCCCCAAACCCACACAGATAAAGAAAGTTCTCTTTTGGGTGTCAGAGGAGTGAAGAAGGATCCCCGCAAGGAGGGAGAAGGGCTATTCCCACTTTCTCTGCTCTGTGGATCTTAACTCGGAACTTTGGACAAAACAATTCTTGTTCCTTATTTTACACATTCCAAAGTATCCTCACCAAGAAGGTCAAGACTAAGGGCTCTTGCTTATGAGATCCAGGAGAATAAAATGCTCTGATTTCAAGTGCCAAAAGCTTGAATTACACAGTATGCGGGGCAAGTTGGGGAGAAAATTCTTGTCCAACTAAGAAATTCGTCCAGTTCCTCGCAGGTCCCTCTGCCTTCATGACATCCCACGTCTGGTTTTTATTTTCACCCCCTTGCCAAGTACCAAAGTCACACTACCCGCTTTCCCCTCTCCAAACTGTCCGAGTGAGGTTCCAGACACGAAAGCTCAAACACGGGGAATGACAGCCTCCGAAAAAGCCGGCGTCAGAGCCCAGGGGGGCGGCGCCTTCGGGGACAGCCGGTGCCCCCAACCCCCGCGGCCGTGTCGCCCACCCACTCCAACCCGCACCCTACAGACCCGCGGGCCCGGAGGAGGGAGGCGGCGGGCGCCCGAGAGCGGGCTGGCCTCCCCGTCAGAGCTCCGGGCCTGCGAGAGGCCCTGACGGCTCCCAAGCCTCAGTTTCCCTCAGAGCCCCTTCCCTGCCAGGAGGGCGGTCCCCGAACCGGCGCTGACAAAAACAAAACGGGGCGCGGCCGGCTCCCAGGCTTAGATGGGCGGGACCCCAACATTCCACAAAGGTACGACCTCCGACCTCTGCCCTCCAACCCCAACAACCTCCGGCCAGCCCCCGACGGTGACGGTCGCCGCCCCTCCGAAGGCAGGAGGCTGGCCCACCCCCGAGCCGACCAACCGGGCTAAGCCGCCGCGCTGCTGAGGGCCCGTGCGGCTCCCCTCCCAGGACCGCGGCTCCCCTCCCAGGACCGCGGCCCCTCCTGCACGCCCCGGTACCTCAGTCGCCGGAATCCGCCGAGACTCGCAGCCGCCGCCGCCGCCGCCGCCGCCGCCGCCGCACCTGCTGATTGGCTGCGAAAATCAGCAGGTCTTCAGGGGGCGGGGACGGCGAGGCAGCCAATGAAATCAGAGCTGCGCGGGCTCTGGAATGAGCCGAGTTGTGCTGAGAAGTCTGTACCGGAAGCGCGGCCCGGGGGCGGGGCTCCAGCTGTCCGCCGCGACGCTGGCCCCGCCCACCAGCCTGCCACGGCGGCACCAACTCTTCCCAGCTGTAGGATTTGCCTCTGCTGTAGGCTGTAAAACCCCCTACCTCCTTCTCCCAGTCGTCTGCTGAGCCTCCGCTTTCTCACCTGTAGGAGAGGCCTGTGTGTCAATGGTGTGTAACGAGGGGGCGGATTCCCAGGAGAGCGGGTGTCCCCCGCTGAGGCCTGCCGCTGCGAAGCGGCTCATCTGGTTCTCCACATCTTGCAGCCCTTACCACCACAGGAGTTTGCCTGGCTCTGCTCACGAAGACAGAAAAGTCCACCAAAGTAAAACACCGAACCACGACAACACGGACCAAAACAACACAATTTACCCAATGTCGATGGTGGAGCACTCCTTAAGCTTAGTAGTGATGGGTGAACACTCATGCACTAAAGCACAAAGGTATACAACTTCAACCCCAAAAAGGAAAACAAAATTCAAAAGCAAACCGTAACCAGGGGGAAGTAATTGCAACAAACACCACAAAAGATTGACATCCTTAAGTTAATGAGAAAGTCACTAAGAGTCCAGTAGATAAATGGTTGGGGAGCATGAGCAGACAATTCACCAAAGAATACAAATAATTAACAGGGAAGAAAAATGAAACCTCAGTAGTAATCAAATTAAATTACAGAGCCAAAGGATAAAAACAATAAGATCCCTCCCTTTAACGGCTTTCCATCCTAGTTAAAATAAAAGTTAAATTCCTTATCTTGGTAGACAAAGCCCAGGATGGTGTGAGGGTTCCAGTCCATTGTCTGCCATTTGCTCATTCTTTTTAGCCACTCTCCCCTTTTCTTCTGGCTTTTAAACAACCCAGATCTCCCACCCTTAGCCCTTCACAGGAATGTCCTTCCCTCAGCTGGACTTTCAGACCCCCCCAGGCCTCACATCAGTCACTTTCTCGGCAGAGCCTTCCCTGTCCACCCCATATACCTAGGCGCTCCCTCCATGCTCTCAGGACATTCTGTCTCCACATCCCACTTCTCCATTAGTTTACCTGTTCTATTGCCAGAATCCTCCTGTCCCTAATTATTTTCTGTTGCTCACTACAACCTGTGTCCAATTCACAGCTGTACTCCTGGCCCAGAGGGCTTGGTCATGGCTGGGTGGATTTGGCAAGTCTAGATATCAGAATCTAAGAGTGTGGTGAACAGGGAGAGGAGTCAGAGCAGAATCTGCAAAGCTGAATTAACATAGTCACTCCCTGATTAGTTATATGTGTTTCTGTCATTCAGCATGTCTAATAAAAAACAAATCCAAACCCCACTCCCAAACCCCCTTTTCCCCCTGCCCAAAACCAGGTTCAGGAGAGATTTTACTTGAAAAGATTATTGCGAGGGGAGAAAGAGATTGTTGCAGGAGGGGGAGCCCTCTGTGTATAAGGTCTGCAACCATCTTAGGAGTTAGGCAGAAAGGGCTTTTCTTTTATAGAGAGAAGTGAACGAGGCTAGAAGGAGCCAAGTGCAAGGAAGTAGAGTAAAAGGGTGGCAGAACTGGAGAGTAGATATGAAAACATTCTACCTGAGGCCAGCCTATTTATTCTCAAGAGGGATTTATGTCGGCTCAGGCCGAATGTGAACTAAAGCCCATTCAGGCACCTGGATGAAGGAGAAAGGCTTAATGGAATTTCAGTTAATAAGCATTTTGTTCTGATTGATCAGTGGGGACAAGAGGCTCAGCTAATCGTTTATGAGGCAAAGAAACAGATTTTAGAAGGTCCGTGTCTAGCTTTGTCACATGTAGACAAGGACGGCATCCATGAGTCTTATTTAAGTCATATGGGGAAGGAAGGGTTCTTTGCAATAAGCCATTTTCCAGGACACAAAGGGTGGGTGGGGATGGGGAGATTGTAACCTTCGCTGTTTTCCAGGAGCACAGGCGTGGGTAAAATTAAGCACAGTCCCGTTTCTGTCTGTGGATTCTACCTCCACCTCCCAAGCCCTGGAGGACAGTGGTGAGTAAAGCTGGCAGCCTGTCATGGGGATTCCACTTCTAAAGATGAGCCAAGACAAAGACATAGAAAGAGCATGACAGATGAAGCTAGATCCTTGAAAAACAGAAAAACTAGGTCATATCCGTTAACAAAGATTATCCAAACTTCACAAACGCCAAAGGATGGTTGTGTGTTCTTCCAGTACCACGCTAGAGCTCGGTTAGTGAGCCCACCCAAGAATAATCTGATTCTCAAAAGCAGCAGTGCTCAAAATGTGGTCGATGCAATCCAGGAGACCCCTGAGACCTCTTCACTGGGTCTATGAGGTCAAAACTATCTTCATAGTAAGGTCAGCATTATTTACCTTGTCTACTTCATTCTCTCTTGGTAGACAAGTGATTTAGCTCACATATATTGAGTCCATACTGGATGCAAGGCCACATAACACTCCTGTGAGGTAGGTATTATGACAATCTCCAAATTACAGATGGAAAAGCTGAGTGTAACAGAAATTGCAAGTTGCCTACCCAATATCCATTCTAGCTTTTTCCTTCGGAAAAGAACCCCAATACTATTTGGAGCAGCAATGTGCAAGGCTGACAGTACCCTTCCCAGTCTTCTTGCAGCAGGGTGTATCCCTGTGAATAAGTTTCAGACAATGGATCGGTAAAAGGACAATGCTGAGGGGTGCCTGGGTGGCTCAGTCGGTTAAGCGTCCAACTTCGGCTCAGGTCATGATCTCACGGTTCGTGGGTTCGAGCCCTGCGTTGGGCTCTGTGCTGACAATTGGCTCAGAGCCTGGAGCCTATTACAGATTCTGTGTCTCCCTCTCTCTCTGACCCTCCCCTGCTCACGCTGTCTCTCTCTCTCTCTCAAAATAAATAAAACATTAAAAAAAAAAAGGACAATGCTGAGTGGGACTTCTGACAAAGCCTTTCAAAGGCAGACATCTGAAAAAGCTCTGTATAATATGTGCGTGCGTTCTTTTTACCCTCCCTCTCGCTGCCTGGGATGACGATGAGACGGCAAGGGCACCTGCATTCATCTTGGACAAGGAGGCAACTCTGGAGGTGGAATCCATGTGCTCAGGAGGGCAAAGCAGCAAAGATGGAAAATGTATGGGAAAGAACGAAATGTCCCCGTTGTTTAAGAGGTTAAGATTTCTGTTAGCAGCCACTGATGCAATTCCTGAGTTAGATATTTGGGCACAGAGGTTATGTGTCCTAAATGTCATGGCTAGCAAGTACAAGAGGCAGAATTCAGCCCCGGGCAGTGACTACAAAAGCCCACATTCTTATAAAGGCTCTGGGCAGAACTCCGTTTTGCCTTCTCCACTGGCCCAGCTCAGCCAGGATGCCTACTAACTTGGTGAGCAGCTCCTTCAGAAACCTACCCTTGTTTTCTCTCCAGGCCCTGGGCTAGGCTGGCTGAGATGCAGGCCCTCAGCCCGGTGAGGTCAGAGAGGAGGTGTTGGAGCAACATGGATGGAGCATCACATCCACCAAAGACAGTCCAGCGGCTCCAGCGCTGAGAAAGCTGTGATCAATCCCCTACAAGCCGACAGGCCTACTCAGATGCCCCTCAAACTCCTGCCAAACCTAGAGTATCCTGTCCCGTGTCAGCCTGCTGTGGACCGAGGTGTGTCCCCACTAAATTCAAATGTTGAAATCCTAACCCCTTATGTGACTGTATTTGGACATAGGGCCTATAAGGAGGTTAAGATTAAACAAAGTCATAAGGGTGGGGCCCCGATCCAACAGAATTAGTGTCCTTATAAAAAGAGACACCAGAGAGCTTGCTCTCACTCTCCCTCCTTCCCTGCTCACGCTCAGAGGAAAGACCACGCGAGGATGCAGTGAGAACGTGGCCATATCTGAACCAGAATCCGAACCCCGAGGGAACTTGATCTTGGAATTCCGGATTCCAGAACTGTAAGAAATAAATTTCTGTGGTGCAAGCCATCCAGTCTGTGGTGTTTTGGTATGGAAGCCTGAACTAAGACACCGACCTTCTCCCTGGAAGGGCAGAAGATGGAAAGGAACAGCTGCTGAGTGGCCGACTTCTCCTAGGTGTTTAAAAACTCCACCGGGTAGAGAGCAGAGATTTGTGCTGGCAAAGTCATTAGAATTTCTTAAGTGGCAATTTCTCATTTTATAGAGGGGAATTTAAGACCCAGAGATACAAGGGACTTGCCTGACGGTGCACAGCAGAGCTGTAGCCTTAAAACTGGTGGAAGATGAACGTGTCCCAAACTAGCTTTGCACTTACCAGCTGTGTGACCTTGATCGAGGCCTGTAAGCCTTCTGGGCCTTGGTCCCCTCCTCCATGGTCTTGTTCCCTATGCTTGGACATTTTCAGTTTATGTTTGTTGTCTTAGCACAATTATGAACACCCCTTCGCTTTTCATAGTTTGGACACACCCTCTACCTCTCTTTATGGCAGTTGTGAGGCAAAGATTCTCCACCCACACCTTGGAAGAGGCCCAGGCAGGTGTCAGAGCTCTGTGTGGAGTTACCCAAGACAGCTTTAGGAGTTCTTCGAAGAGAGGTAAGGGGAAAAAGTTTTAAAAAATATATTGCATTTAGCACAGAAAAAAAACAAAAAACAAAAAAATTCATTAAAAAGTTAAAAAGCATAGGGGTACCTGGGTGGCTCAGTTGTTTGGGCATCTGACTCTTGGTTTGGCTCAGGTCATGATCCCGTGGTTTGTGGGTTCAAGCCCCACATCGGGCTTTGGGCTGGTGGTGCAGAGCCTGTTTGGGATTCTCTTTGTCTTCCTTTCTCTGTTCCTCCCCTGCTTGTGTTCTCTCTCTCTGTGTGTCTCAAAATAAATAAACT